GGGGGAAGAGTCGGGTCCTTAGAAGGAACAAGCTAGACTCTTCTGAGGCACTGGCTCCAGCCCTAGACTGGTGTGCTTTTTGCACATCTGCTGCTAGACAAGGACGGAAAACCCAAGTTCCCTTCTTCCTTTCATCAAGGCTTCCGAGAAAGTCTTTGGTCAATCTGGCTCCCCCCATACACCGGTTTCCCTGATGGTTGTACCATTCTACTTTATGATCAAAAGTTAGTTAGTATTCTTTTCTCTCCTCATCTACAACAACATTTGTTTCTATATGTTTTTATGTGCCTAAATCTTAGCACATGTGTACATACAAATAAATACACAAATTCATCAGCTAGAATTGTCTTTTGAATAGTTCTTTGATATTTAGGAATGTTTTAAATTCTGATCATCACCTTTATTAAGTATATTTCCTTTAATATTATACCAACCTTCTGAGAAAAGAAATACCAACAAAATACATGTAAATGAGAACACAACCAAAAAGTACAATGGAAGATGTATGATTAACAATAAGGAGTTTTTGCTTTAATCCATCCGTAACCAGGATAAATATAGTTTAGGATTCTCCTTTTCCTAGTGGCTAGTTTCTACATTTATGCAAGGTAAGATGGTCAAATTTCTCATTTGTCATAAGTCTCCATGTATATATCTGCCTATATTCTGTCTGTAGCATTCACATTACATATTAATTACAAATTACATAAGATAAGTTATTTTAGGCAGAAGTACAATGTCAGACAGAAAACTTGCATTGACACGATGAAATAAAAATGTTAGAAATTATAAAAAGAATTAAATATGAAATGTACTTTTTATTTTGAAAGATAAATGACTAGACATATTTATGGCAATGCGCTTCGTGTATGTAAGACAAATGTTTATTGGACTGATTCTCTATTTGGATATCTGGAAAGTTTATTAAGGTTTGTTGTGACTAAAGGTCATTGTTTAGCATTTAGCTCACGAAGCCATCTACCTACATAACAATCCAACCAACAAAATCCTTCCAGAGATTTAAACATTAAAGAACCCTACATTTATAAAAATTTCTTATACCACTACTTAGGAATGGTCTTTATTGTGGCTTTATTCTAAAGTATGACTTATTGCTTTAGTTGACATCTCTTGTGTCTAAGGAAAAAAAGATCCATAGCAGAATTCTATTCTGCTTATAAGCATATACCATTTTTCCACTTCTGCCTTTGATACAGCACCCATTGTCTACTCTTCTCCATGTCAACTAGATGCCAGTAATTTTGTTTTGTTTAGTTTTATCAAATCGATTTTGTTTTAAAGGAGTGGAAAGAAAAGACCAGAAAGAGAGAGGACAGAGGCAAGCCAGAGGAGAGTGTCTGAGAGGAATCTTTATTATAACAGTAAAAGTTATACAGTTTTGTGGTTTTGAGGAAGAAATAGTTTGATAAATAGAAACTCAAGCTGTTCATATTTTCTCTAACAACATGTGCCTATTTTGTTTCTGTGTGAATAAATTTATGGTAAAGTTCTAGGTTAAACCAAACATTTTAGTCAGATGTTGCATGTTTTTGTGTTAGTCTGTGGGTTAAAGTAATCTACCACAAGATGCTTGTGGTGCTTCGTAAGGATAAACTTGATCCAACCTACGGTGATGTAATGTGTTGCTGCTGGAACAACAGTCACCTTTGACCCAGTTGTTTTAACAGAAACCAGCCATTCCCACATTTTCTCCCATCCCAGGGGCCTCTATTGATTTCATATGCATGAAAAAAGGATATTTGATCTCTTAATATTAGTTAAGTTTTGACAATAACTAGCCGCCTAATACTAAATAATTAACCCAGAAAATATATATACAAATAACACTATATAGACTGAGCAGGTTATATTTAAGAACAGTAGATATACATATGTCTATATGTATACATATACATATATGAAAGTAACAACAATTAATGAAAAAATAGACCATGAAATTGAAGTGGAGAAAGGAGGCTTGTGTGGGAGGATTTGGAGGGAGAAATGGGAAGGGGAGAATGATGTAATTATAATCTCAAAAATAAAAAGACTGGAAAAAGCAAAAATCTTGGTAATTTTTGTGTATTGCTGGTTTACTTTTGCAACTTTCAACACACCACTGGCAAAGTGAAAATTTTATAGCTTTTGACACACTTTCAGAATATTATTATTTTGGTTCATGTGTTCATTAGATTACCAATAGCTACACAAAAATTGAACTGTATTACTTTGTGGATTTACACATTCTTTTAAAATTTTCTCAAGTTTTTCATTACAAATTGTAAAATTGTATAATTAAGCCCATACTATCTTGGACATTTTATATCTTTCTTGTGTTTGAACCATTTCATTATCTCAAGAGTTTCCTTTTCTGAGTTAGGAATGCTAATTTTCTCACACTAGATCTTACCTGGCCATAGTGTTTCAAAACCAGCCTTTTTCCATTAAGTGTGTACAAGTAATGCTCTTGTGGTCTAATAGACTATGTTTGTCTCACTTGTTTATGTTGTCCTTTTTCTTCTTGCTTCCTTGAGCCAACTATTATATAAATGTTAAATATAAACCATTTAATAAGATGTGCTTCCTGTAGTAAGCTTTGAAATGAATTATAAGAGTAAGCCTCAATGTAAACTAGCCCATGTCAAATCCAGATGCCACTCATGGTCCTAGCTACTGAATTGGACAATCCAGTATTAAACACAAATAAGTCAAAGAAATTTCTAGAAAGCTTTGCCTTAATCACTGTACCTACACACACACATACATACACACACACACACACACAATGAAGCGTGATAGTGGGAAAATTAACTTTTAAAACATTACTACATTTGATAAGACAAGTAGGTTCCCCTGGCTATAAGCCCTTCAGCTGGCATACACACTTGCATTCCAGCCACCAAGGGTGCTAATAGATTTTTTTCAAGACTGCTCTTTTTTTTTATTTTATTTTTTATTTTTATTTTTTGACTTACTTATTTTTATTGAAAAAAAACAAAGGAAAAAATCCAATAAATTTAAAACCATTCCACATCCCCTTCCACAAACACCTTGAGTTTATTTAGCACATCACTGTCCCCATGCATGAAGGCCTTACAGTTACAGGCCTACCGTGAGCGCGAGCTCCCATAGAACTCCCTTTACTTAGCAGTGACACATCATACTTCTACAGTCTTCCAAACAGTTATTCTCATGGCAGTAGACTTTATTTCATTAGCACACTTTCTTTAACGTAGAGATTTTCTCTGTATTGTTGCTACTATTTATAATGCAGACATAAACATTCTCATGCATTTTTTCAGCATTCTTTAGCTTAAAAATAACGAGAACTCACCGGGCAGAGAATATAATCATTTAAAAATCTTTACATTTACTTCCATTGTGTGTGTACGCATACTTACACGTGGCACAACACACACGTGGAAGGCAGGGGACAGCTCTCAGGACTCCGTGTTCTCCTTCCACAGTGGGTGCTAAGGGTTTCGTGTAGGCCTCAGGCCTGCGAAGTGAGCCTTCTCGCCTACCGAGTCAGCTCACTAGCCCGCTATGGTCCCTCTTATGCCTCTTTATAAAAAGTACCATGTAGCAACTCCAAAGGGTTGAGTCTGTTTAAAATGCTACCTGAAGTGAATATTAAATAGTTTTCTTGAATTTTTTTAAAATCAGAAGTAGTTTTATTTAAAGTAAAAATAAGTACATCTCTTAAAAAAACAAAACAAAAACGATAAAACCAACCAACCGTGGGCAGATGGTCTCATAGACCACTCACATTTAGATGAGTTAGGCAGTGCCCCCACAAGCCAACTCTACCCCTTCTCAAGTTATGGCACATTTGGGAAGTGACCCTGTAGGCACACAGAAGATGAAAAAGGGTATATCTGGTTCATAGGCCACCCAGACCTCATCCGGCTTCAAAGGTTTGAGGGGCTCTTGATCTAGAAAAATCTATGTCTCAAAATGCCAGTGTACATGCGACAGGAAGCTCTAGTCACAGATGGGCTCAGAGATTGAAGTCCCAAGATCTTGTTAGCAGCAGAACTGGCAAATTAAAGCAAATTCTTCTTGTCAACATATTTTCCACTGCATCATAGCTGTTCTACATGCTTTCCGGCTCTTTATATGCAGACACCTAACTATAAAAGAGGATTTGCCAACATGCGGAAGCCAGATACCTAAACTAGCAACCTACACCCAAGCCAAAAATTAAACACAGCCCTTAGCATCAGAAAATATTTGACTATCTTCTCTGTCATTTTTAGACTTGCTAGTCTTTTAAATTGAGTTGTAAAGTCTTTGAACAGTAGCAATCGTTTGTATAGTGTTTAGTACGTGTAGCTTTGATAGGAAATAAAGAATGCTACCAATAAATTATGTACATCACAAAGGGAAAAGACTGTAAGTAAATCCACATCCTGACTAGTTCTAAAGGGAAACAATTTTAAGTGTTGTTTTGTAGAGGTAGAGAAGGTTCTCTCTTTACATTTCAAATTCCTACCGGCTAGAGACCCACAAAAAAACCACGGGCACATCGAAGGCTTTTAAAGACAGGGTCTCACTGTACCCCTGGCTGGCCTGGAACTTGCCATGTGGACCAGACTGGCCTTGATGTCCTTCAACTCAGATCTGCCTACCTCTGGGATTAAAAGTGTGCGCCACCGTGCCCAGGTATGTCAGAGGCTCTTACCAGACACTTCATAATTCAGAATGAATGGTTTTGACCTACACCCAGTGCTGGAGGAAGAAAAGTTCCCTACACAGGCCTTTCGCCTTTACCAAGTGTCAAATACTCCAATCCACCTTTAAAAGCAGAAATTCTAGGAGGGGTTAACTCTCCTATTTGAACTGTGTACAAACACAACGTTTTTCTTACATTATTCCCATAATCGCTGGGTCTGGAGACAGTGCAGAGTTGGAATTAAATTCTCCAATGCCCCATCACGGGCTACGTCACGATAACAAGGCGCCCCAAACTCTGCATTTTTTTTTTTTTTCACTATGCCCCGAGTCCCGTGGACTCCATCAGACATTATACACACAAACGCACCCGTGCGACCGCATGGCACTCGGGAGGTTGCCCACTATTTCCCACTTATTGAGTTCGGGGTCGTACTTCTCGATGCTCTGGAGGTACGTGGCCTTTTGAGTAAGAGTACCCTCCCGTTACATAGATGCATCCGTTCATGATGACAGCCCCGCACTCCATCCTCCTCTCCAGCATGGGCGCCGTCTCTCTCCACTCCCTCCGCTCCGGGTCATAGCACTCCGTGATCGTGGTTTGTCCGCCGACCAAGTAAAGCTTGTTTTCGAATGGAACTGAGCACAAGCCATATTCTGGGTGTGGGCTAGCAGTGATAAGGCTCCATTCGTTGATATCTGAATTGTAGCTCTGAATCTTGTCATACGTGCAGCTTCCTCTATAGCCACAGTGGCCGCCGATGACATAGATAACTTCATGTAGGACACAGGCAGTAGCATTCCCCACACCTTTAATCATGTTTGCGATGGGAAGCCACTTCTCTTTCAGTGGGTCATAGAACTCGGCCTCTTCTGCAGGGGCGCCTTTTCTGTAACCGCCCAGCGCGTACACACAGCCCCCCAGGGTGACCGCACAGTGGTAATACCTGGCGTTGAGCATCGGCAAGCCTTCTGTCCACTCATCACCTTCGCTGTTATAGATCCACACTGTGTCAAGAGCGTCTATGTTATCTGTCCTGTATCCTCCGGTCACATAGATGTTGGGCCCTAAGCACGTGACACCGTAACTCTCCCTGGTATAATCTGGTATTTCTGCTCCCTGGATCCACACATTTGTCAGAGGATCCCATATGTGGACCTCTGATAAGGGATGCCAGTAATAGCCTCCAATAATGTACATGGTGGCTGTGGACCTCTGGGAAATCTCTTTATGCATGGGATTCAAGGCATTGTATATCAGGGAACGGATCTTATTTTCTGTTAAGAGAGAGCTTCTTTGGAGGCCTAACGCTGTCTTTAAGTACACCGGGTCTATATCTAGGTTGATATAGCTCAATAGGTTGTATAGGCATTTGATCCTGTTCTCTACGTCATGAGCAGTCCACTTAATGACTGGTTCCAGGATAGCTTCTTCCTTCCAGACACTGAGGTTCTTTCTGGACAAGATAAAGAGAAACTTTTCAAGGCTGATTTCCAGAAATTCTTCTTGTTGCCACACTTCCTTAAACCTCGAGCACAGAATTCTTCGAGACTCCTTCTCTAGTTCTGAGCACACATGGAATTCCGCAAAGGAGTGCATCCCGATACAGTTATCAATATCCAGGTGCCTGACCAAAAACTGCTCGCCAGCCTTCTTTACTGAGAGGACCTGCAGCAGATCGGCTGCTTCCAGAAGGCTCTGCACATTTCTCTTAGTTATTTCAATTTGGGAAGTATACGCATAATTTACGCGGCCTTCCAAAATATCATGGTGGATGCCCGGCAGTTTGATTTTACTTTTAAATTTTTCTTTCATGTCAGCTGTGAACATGGCCTTAAAATAATTGCTGCAGGCAGCTAAGACGGCCCGGTGGCAATGGAAGATTATGCCTGAAGGACACTGAAGGGTAATATCGGTAAACAATCCGTCCACGTAAAACGTTCTGAACGCATCCAGAAAATCCACTGGATGCGACGAATCCTTGAAAAGATAAATGTAATCTTCTTGTCCTTTTAAGCCATGGCTCGCTGGCGGCGAGGGACGCGGCCCCGGACTAGCGACCGGCGCGGGTGGGGGCGCCTCCCGACCCTCTGATCATGTCTGGGGGCACGGGGCAGAGGCCAGCCGCTAGTGCAGCTCCAGCCGGCGAGCTGCCCCTGCCTCCGCCCGCAGCCCCTGCGCCGCGGCCCAGGCGCCCCTATTTTTTTCTTATCAGTTACATTTTATTAACTCTGTATCCCAGCCCAGCCGTGTCCAGATCCCTCATTCCCTCCCAGTCCCTCCCTCCCTCCCTCCCTCATCTCCACCGTGCCCCTTGCCAAGTCCACTGATGGGGGGGACCTCCTCCCCATTCATCTGATCCTGTTTTATCAGGTATCTTCAGGACTGGCTGCAAAGCTCTCCTCTGTGGCCTAACAGGACTGCTCCTCCCTTGGGGGGTGGGGAGCCCAAAGAGCCAGTCATTGAGTTCCTGTTAGAAATAGTCCTTGTTCCCCTCACTATGGGAAACCAATTGGTTACTGAGCTACCACAGGCTACATCTGAGCAGAGGTTCTAGGTTACATTCATACATGGTCCTTGGTTGCATGTCAGTCTTAGAAAAGACCCTGTGCCCAGATATATTTGGTCCTTGTGGAGCTCCTATCCTTTCCTCATCAGACTAACTCCCCTTCTTTCTTATGATTCCCTGTACTCTGCCGAAGGTTTGGTCATGAGTCTTTGCTTTGAAAACACTGCTAGTTAGAGTCTTTCAAATGCGCTCAGTAGACTCCTGTCATACGTTCAATGCACATCCCATCTGTCTTTCAAAACGAGGATTGATAATCTTACCCCATGTCCGCTCTCTTGATTATCTTTTTTAGGTGTATAGATTTCATTATGTTTATCATATCTTATAGGTCTATATAAGTGAGTATATACCGTGTTTGTCTTTCTCCTTCTGGGATATTTCACTCAGGATGATCTTTTCTAGATCCCACCATTTGCCTGCAAATTTCATGATTTCCTCCTTTTTGATTGCTGAGTAGTATTCCATTGTGTAAAAATACCACAATTTCTGTACCCATTCCTCCGTTGATGGACATCTGGGTTGTTTCCAGGTTCTGGCTATTACAAATAATGCTGCTATAAACATGGTTGAGCAAATATCCCTTTTGTGTACTTGAGCAAACTTTGGGTATATACCTAGCAGTGGTATAGCTGGGTCTTGAGGAAGCACTATTCCTAATTGTCTTAGAAAGTGCCAGATAGATTTCCAGAGTGGTTGTATCAGTTTACATTCCCACCAGCAGTGGAAGAGGGTTCCCCTTTCTCCACAGCCTCTCCAGCATGTGTTGTCCCTTGAGTTTTTTATCTTGGCCATTCTGATGGGTGTAAGGTGATATCTCAGGGTCGTTTGATTTGCATTTCCCTGATGGCTAATGAGGATGAGCATTTCTTTAAGTGTTTCTCTGTCAAGACTGCTCTTATGGAGAATTACCTTTAGCCAAAATCAATCAAACAGGACATCATACTCTTAATCTAAACAGTCAATACCAATGAGTGAGTAAGTGAGAGAACGGCAGAGTGAAATAATCAGGGCCAATTCTGGAGTACAGTGCATGCTAATTCTCATATCTTAGCTCAACTCTTTCCTCCATCATGGTCTCCTTCCTTTGATAAAACAAGTATCCACATAGTCCTATATCCCCCAAGGAAATAGAAGCAGTCAACAAAATTCTCCCTGCCAAAAAAAAAAAAAAAAAAGCAAGCCCAGTGCCAGATGGTTTCAGCATAGAATTCTACCAGACCTTAAAAGAAGTGCTAATTCCAATTCCAATTCTCTTCAAACTATTCCACAAAATAGAAACAGAAGGAACATTACCAAACTCATTCTATGGAGCCACAGTCACCTTGATACCTAAACCTCACAAATACCCGACAAAAACAGGGAATTTCAGACCTATCTCTCTTATGAACATTGATGCAAAAATACCCAATAAAATACTTGCAAACCGAATCCAAGAACACATAAAAGATATCATCTACCATGACCAAGTGGGATTCATCCCAGGCATGTAGGGATGGTTCAACATATGGAAATCCATCTATGTAATCCACCATATAGACAAACTGAAGGAGAAAAAACACATGATCATCTTTTTAGATGCTGAAAAAACACTTGACAAAATCCAGCACCCATTCATGTTTAAAGTCTTGGAGATATCAGGGATACAAGGCACATACCTAAACATAGTAAAGGCAATATACAGCAAATCATTAGCCAACATCAAACTAAATGGAGAGAAACTTAAATCAATCTCACTGAACTCAGGACAAGGTAAGGCTGCACACTCTCTCTGTATCTCTTCAACATAGTGCTTGAAGTCCTAGCTAGAGCATTAAGACAACTAAAGGAGATCAAGGGGATACAAATCAAAAAGTAAGAAGTTAAAGTATCACTATTTGCAGAGGATATGATGGTTTACATGAGTGACCCCAAAAAGTCAACCAGAGAACTCCTTCAGCTGATAAACACCTTCAGCAAAGTGGCTGGAAACAAAATTAACTTTAAAAAAATTAGGAGCTCTCCTGTATAAAAAGACAAAAGGGCTGAGAAAGAAATTAGGGAAACAACACCCTTCACAATAGCCACTAATAACATAAAGTACCTTGGTGTGACTCTAATTAGGCAAGTGAAAGACCTGTTGGAAAAAAATTTCAAGTCTCTGAAGAAAGAAATTGAAGAAGATATCAGATGATGGAAAGACCTCTCGTGCTCGTGAATCGGTAGGATTAACATAGTAAAAATGTCCATCCTGCCAAAAGCATTCTACAGTTTCAAATTTTTTACAGACCCTGAAAGAACAATTTTCTATCTCATATGGAAAAACAAAAGAAAAAACCAGAATTGCCAAAACAATCCTGAACAGCAGATCGTCTGGAGGTATCTCCATCCCTGATCTTAAGCTGTACTACAAAGCAATAGTAATAAAAACTTCATTTTCTCAACCATGCTTGTAGCAGCTTTAATTGTAATAGCCAGAAGCTGGAAACAACTCAGATGTCCCTCAGCTGAGGAATGGATACAGACATTGTGGTACATTTACACAATGGAATACTACTCATCAATTAAAAACAAGGAAATCATGAAATTTGCAGGCATCTGGTGGGAATTAAAAAAGATCATCCTGAGTGAGGTATCCCAGAAGCAGAAAGACACACATGGTATATATTCACTTATAAGTGGATATTAGACATATAATATAGAATAAACATACTAAAATCTGTACACCTAAAGAAGCTAAGCAAGAAGGAGGACCCTGGGTAAGATGCTCAATCCTCATTCAGAAAGGCAAATAGGATGGACATTGGAAAAAGGAGAAAACAGGGAAGAGGACAGGACCCTATCACCGAGGGCCTCTGAAAACCTCTACCCAGCAGGGTATTGAAGGAGATGCTGAGACTCATAACCAAATTTTGGGCAGAGTTCAGGGAATCTTAGGAAAGAAGGGGGAGATGGGAAGACATTGGAGGGGACAGGAGTTCCACAAGGAGAGCAATAGAACCAAAAAAAATCTATACAAAGGCATCTTTTCTGAGACTGATACTCTAAACAAGGACCATGCATGGAGATGACCTAGAACCCCTGCACAGATGTAGCCCATGGCAGCTCAGTGTCTAAGTGGGTACCTAGTAAGGGGAACAGGGTCTGTCTCTGACATGAACTCAGTGGTTGGCTCTTTGATCACCGCCCCCAGATGGGGGGTGCAGCCTTACCTGGCCACAGAGGAAGACAATACAGCCAGTCCTGATGAGACCTGATAGGCTCTGGTCAGATGGAAGAAGAGCAGGATCTCCCCTATCAGTGGACTTAAGAAATGGCATGGGAGGAGAAGAGGTAGGGAGGGTAGGATTGGGAGGGAATAAAGGAGGGGCTACATGGGTATAGAAAGTGAATAAACTGTCATTAAAAAAAAATAAAAAAATGCTGGTGCCATTGAAATATCTTTCCCAAGGTAACCAATTAGAATTACAAACATTTCAGAGATTAATGGTTGTTTTTAAAGAGTATAACCATTTCTGAAATCCAGCTACCTTATACAGTTAATTTGATAGAACTAACTTTTATATAAACAGCATGGGTATTATAGTACAAACTAAGAGCTGTTTTTCTATAGCTTCATTTGAATAAACTATTTATTTTCTCTCATTTCTTGCAGATTTTTTTTTCACAAATAGTAGAAAGGCCTGCATGAATGAAGGATAATGATATAATTTATTAACAAATTCTAAAGAAATGTTGTTTTTCCTTAGAAAATTAAAACAATGTAGAGCATGTAACCATTCCTGGAAAAAACCATGTAACCACGGCCAATGAAGCAATGAAATGAAGCCTGCTGTCATTAATCTGAAGAAAGTTCCATTGCAATTTTCTCTTGAAATTATGCTTGTGCTTAACATTAGTAACTGTTCCTGACATCTTGCCAACCGTCTTTGCAGAGGGGTACAAAATGTCTGGATCCTTGATAACACAACTGAACTTTTCAACTGGCTTATGTATACTAGGCAAATGAAAGATGGCTGTACTTGAAAGGTTACTTGAGATTTGTTACAAGTCCAACTGTGCAGTAGGATAGCATCATAAGGAAAAGGAAATAAAGAAACAGAAAACTATTGCCAAAGGGAAGATGCTAACACAAGTACAAGAGGCCCTGTAATGAGCCTCATATAGAGTCAGTGTACACTGGAGCATTTGATAGCCTAACTATACAGACAGTTAAAATGAAATCAGCTTATTGGGATTAATATATGTACACATCACCTCCTATAGTATTTGTTTCAGTAAGAAAAGTAGTTGAGGGTATTTGTTCTAACTGTTGGAATAGACAACCGTCACAACAGTAGGAATCTACTCCAACCCAGTGTCTTTGCAGCCTCGCCTCTCTGTGTCATCCTATACATGAGAGGCTCAGCTGCATCCTGCACTCACAAATCTCCAGACACACACCTGGGTCAGAATCAGAGGGGCAGATCAGAATTTTCTCCTGAAATAAAAATTGGGAAGTTATCTTTGAAAGTCATGTTTCTGGCTCCTGTGGTTCACCCGAGTTACCAGTTTTTATGTAAATTTGGGCAAGAATTTATTGGTTTGTTGAGAATGTATAATCTTTGGGCTAATGTAATGTGTTGTTTTGTTTTAAGAGCAGCCAACTTTCTTTCCTGCAGTCATTAATTGGGTTTTCTTCCCTCCTTATCCTGGACACTGATCTGATTTTTTTTTTCAGTTTTCATTGTTTGTACAGGTCAATAAGCTTGTATTAAAAATAACACATTTATGAGAAAACTTTCTTGTTTACATGTGTTAAAAACTCTTAGAATGATGTTTGGTCCTCAGATTTCAGCCTCTGAAGATATGAGCACTAATTTAGGAGATGCTGGGATGTTCAGTGTGGTCTAGAACAGAGGCATGCCGGAATCTGATGCTGAGGTTCTAAAACATTAGTATTTGGGGCTTCACATAATGATTCAACTGTGGACTGTTCCAGGTGTGGGTGCAAGAGAATGAGTGGAGAAGCTGAATCTGCACACTCAACTGTTTTTTTCAAAGTTTAAAATCCACTCTGATGATGGTTCTGGGTTCTTTCACGGCCTCAACGGCTCCTCATGTATCTCAGTTCCAGATGTTTGCCAGAAGAGCACATTTTTTTTCCTCCCTTTCACCACAGTAAAATTCCTCTGCTTTTGGAAACTCTCTACCATTCAGAGAATTTTAGAGAATTTAATGAGCATCATGAAATATACACAGACATGCAATAGAGCATCTAGTCACTTGCTCCTGGTAGAAGGTGATAGCTCACTTTTTACATGGTTCATATGACTTGTGTTAACCAAGACACAATAAAGTAAACAGCTCACACATGGTTAGTAATGTGGACACATCTGCTCTGCTCTAGCAGGGAGCAGTGTGCTGAGGAGTCTTTGTCCTTGGGAAGCTTCCATCCTTGTGAGGAGACAGAAAAAAAACACTATTTGAGGCTGAGAAAACAAGGGAATGCAACAGTAGTGAAGAATGAGGCAGAAGTTGCTCAGCCACATAAGAGGGCAGATAAGTGCCGTGGCTTGCTCTGAGCACAAGCAGGTGAAAAGAAAAGAAGCATAAAATCTAAGTTTCCTTAGGACTCTATGAAAGATCATTTCTATTTTTTAATCATAACTTTTTGTGTTAGTAATCAGGAGAATTTATGATACAGTAATTGTAGCAAAGTAATAATTCAGCTCTGTATGTAACTGCTTAAATTAATTAAAAGAAATATAAATTTGGCACTTTTTTTTTTCAGAAGCAAAGGAAGGTTTGCTAACTTTTGGTAAAGTTTTAGGGAAAACGCAGTAAAACTACAGGTTTTGTCAGCTTGTAGCTCTTTTGGCTTCTGCAGAGTTGGAGATTACTTAAAAGTTGGCAAGCGTTGGTGTCCACAAATTGAAACCGGCTGCAGTAGAAGCATATTATCATTCCACAGCCATCTGAGCAAAGCGGTTATTTATGCACTCACAAATGCACACACACACAGAGGCACGCACTCACGCATGTACACACTTCAAATTTAACCCTGCTGACTCGGGAAAAATGGCAGAGACCCTGATGAAGTCTATGATATGAAGTCTTCCCTAGCAAAACTCCCCACTGCTCTTTAGGTTACAGAAGAAGGTATTTGTAATGACTATTGGCTGCAAACCCAGGAAGTGGTGTGTGCTGTAAGTCTTTAAAATACAACATTTTCCACCTCTTCTTAGTAGGCTGGTCGGTAAAGCAAGAAGAAATTGTAAAATGAACGAGCTGATATTCCAGGCAGATGGGGCTTTGGCTACCAGAGAATAAACATTGGAACATTTTAAGAGATGAAAGCATGATTGGAATAGTCCTTAGTGTACATTTTAAGCCCCAACATTCAATAGAGTACAAAACATTATTTATATACTCAAATCACATTTCATGAAATGATAGCATGGAATAAGCTATGTCACCACGACTCTCCAGGATGACCATGTGAGCGTGGTGTCATTTTGCCTGTGCTTCACAATGGAGTTGGCCTAGATTTTACTTCTTCTTTTTTTTTTTTTTGTTTTAGACTTTACTTCTAAAGAATGGCACTAACTGGGGCTGTGGAGATGCCAAGGAGTATAAGAGCACTTGCTGTTCCTGCAGAGGACCAGGGTTTCATTCCCATCACTTCCATGGCTGCTTACATCCATCAAAACTCTAGTTCTGGGTGATCTTGGATCCTCTTCTGGCCTCTGATCATGTCAGGCATATAAACAGACATAAGTAGACAAAATGCTCATACATTTAGTACTCCTTAAAGGAGTTGAAAGTCTTTTAAAAATGCTCAGTCCCCATTCAGAAAGGCAAAGAGTATGGACATCAGAGGAGGGAGAAAACAGGGAACCAGACAGGAGCCTACCACAGAGGGCCTCTGAAAGGCTCTACCCTGCAGGGTATCAAGGCAGATGACTCATAGCCAAACTTTGGGCAGAGTGCAGGGAATCTTATGAAAGAAGTTGGAGATAGTAAGATCTGGAGAGGACAGGAGCTCCACAAGGACAGCAGCAGATCCTAAAAGTCTGGGAACAGGGGTCTTTTCTGAGACTGATACTCCACTCATGGAGATGGCCTGGAATCCCTGCACAGATGTAGCTATGGCAGTTCAGTGTCCAAGTGGGTTCAATAGTAATGGGAAGAGGGACTGTCTCTGACATGAACTGATTGACCTGTTCTTTGATCACTTCCCTATGAGTGGGGAGCAGCCTTACCAGGCCACAGAAGAAGACAATGCAGCCACTCCTGATGAGACCTGATAGACTAGGATCAGAGGGAAGGGGAGGAGAACCTCACTTATCAGTGGATTGGGAGAGGAACATGGGTGGGGAAGAGGGAGGGTGGGATTGGGAGGGAGGTATGGGGGGATAAAGAGTGAATAAACTGTAATTAATAAAAACTAAAAAAAGAAAAAATTAAAATACAAAGAAATCGAAAGTTTACATCTCTTAAGGCAGTAATAAAGCATAGTACTTAAGATCATGAACTATGGTTGAGTCCTGCCTGGGTTCAGTCTCACTCTTGTCTTTATTGTGTTTTGGTTGCTTTCTTTTTATTAAAAAAAAAATGTTCATTTTATTTTGTGAGTATGTGTGAGTGCCTGTATATATTTATGAGTGCCTGTATGTATGTATGTATGTATGTATGTATGTATATACATATATGTACACAAGTGTGTATGTATGTACATGTGTGTGTTTGTGTGTATATGTGTGTGCCATGTGTGTGCAGGTGCCTGTGGAGGCCAGAAGAGGATAGCACGTCACCTGAAACTGGAGTTAGAAGTGGTTGAGAGCTATCTCATGTGGATGCTGGTGTCTGAACCTGGCTCTTTGCAGAAGCGGCCAGTGCTCTTCCCCATTGGGCCAGCTCTTCAGCCCTTGTGTTAGTGTCTTTAGGCATTAGACAGATAGTTGGAATGATATTTACCTTAGAAATGGTTTTGACACTAAATATTAGTCCTTTTCTCTGTCTCTTTTTCTCTTTCTCTCTGTCTGAAACTAAATTTTTATCCTTACTATATGGTGATAAACATCATCATTACTGTGTCACAAATGTTAGCTGAATACAGGAGACTCCTAGAACAGTCAAAAGACTCTTTACTGGTGGCACAGAAAGTGGCATGTGTACTCAGCTTGAAACAGTTTGTAAGTCCTGTTTGGGGAGGGGGAGGGTGTAAACAGAGGATCCAGGTTGCTGGTGGACATTATACTCATAGGAAGTTTGAGATGAAATGAAAGGCCTTGGGCTTGAGCCACACTCTTTGGAGAAGGCAGTAAACAGATTTGGCCAGGGTCTTGGTGGGAGATTTTCCTTCTCAGCCTGCTTCAGATGAGAAAATTGGTTTGCACCGAGAAAGTTGCACTATTGGCATTTCTCGGAAGACATATTCCTATGTGCCCACAGGGAAGACTGTCATTTCTAACAACATCAAGTACTTACAAACAGCACCCTGTCACATTGATATTACTGTCTTTATTGGCCCTGTACCACAGATCCTAAAATGCAGAGCTTTGAAGGCATAATTATCATGAACTAAATCTTATGGTTAATATATTCCAAACTTAGTATATGTTTAAGTAAAAAGTTTTCAGAAATGTTTTCCATAGAAGTACTTATTTCTGAGATATTCTTTTGGACAGTTGAAACTTTGTTTTTGATCTGCAGCCCTTGACTGCTAAGGAGCTATTAGTCACTGTGACCGAAAAATTAAATATTATAATTTTACTAAACAATACAAAATATAAACAATTAGAATTTAGCAAATGACCTAATTAATTTTTTGATATCTTTCTGCAAGGAAGCTAGAAGTTGTTACCACCTTTACATGGAGCAAATTATTTCTTGGTTTTCTTCTTGGTGAATATTTTTAAGACGTCAGGTTTTTAGAATGCTTTGCACTCAACTCTACATAAAAAAATATATATGTATATATAATGCATATACACTTATAGGAGAATAGAGCCATATTATAAACAAATATTATAAAAGGAAAAGTAAGTTTGGAGCCATCAGGAAAATAACAAAAGCAAAAATAAAGAAATAATTGTGGAATGTTGAGTGTTACGGTCATTAAATTTCAAAACAAATAAACGACTATGGAATGAGTCTGTTTCTGAGAACATAATTGAGAGAAAAGGAGAAGAGACATGCAAGTTTTCATGAAAAAAATATAATATTAGTTAAAAAATATAAATTTCCAGCAGGAATTCATGTCATAGAGAGGAAGTATGGTGGACTGCAATAACACTGAGAGAGAGTAGTCACAGGCACGGAGACAATCTCCACCAACCTCTGGCAGGCTCTGAAGTTTCAGCTCTTTCCTGGAGCTGAGCTTAAGTGGTTTCTATGTGGTTGAAACCACACTGCCTTGCAAATGGAATCATTACTAAAAAAAAAAAAAAAAAAAAAAAAAATTATGTGTGTGTGTCTTGTATTGGAATTCAAACTTGCAAAAAATGTGCTCAGACTCAGTCTACTAATGGAACAGGCTGAGCCACTGGACATGCTGCTGGGGAAGCCAGTGAGAGTAAAAACTGAAAACTTGTTTTTCTTTCTTTCTTTCTTTCTTTCTTTCTTTCTTTCTTTCTTTCTTTCTTTTCTTAAGAGAAGAGCAAGTTGGGTTTCTGCTGTTGCATTATGGAACAGAATAAGGAGACCTTTTAGGCCAGTGGTTCTCAAGCTTCCTAATTCTGAGACTTTTTAATACAATTCCTTATGTTGTGGTGACCCCCAACCATAACAATACTCTCACTGCTACTTCATAACTGTAATGTTGCTACTGTTATGTATTATAATGTGAATCTCTGTGTTTTCCAATGGTCTTAGGCAATCCCTGTGAAAAGGTCATTTGACCTCCAAAGGGGTCACAACTCACATGTTGAGAACCACTGCTTTAGGGTTTTACTTCACACTTGGAAAGTATGACAAGGACCAAAATAGGGACCTAAACATATAAACACAACTTAATGGAAAATAAACAAATGGGACCGCACTAAAGTAAACAGTTTTCCACAATAAAGGATATAATGGATAAAATAAAAAGGTAGCCTACAGATGGGGAGGAAATATTTGCAGACTATACATTTGACAAGAGGGTGATAAAGAAGATAGACAAGGAGCTCCGTAACTATTAGAAAACAACCCATTTGCCTCAAATTTAAATTAACTTATAGCACAACTAACATAGATACATTTTATTTCCTTCCTTCTTAATAAAGCACTATAAAAGCCACTTTAAACCTTTGAAAAATTGGTGCATGAAAACACAGCTTTCCTTTTGGTCTTCCTGCGTGTCTATTTTATTGCCACAAAATTGAACCTATTTCCGTGTTTAAAGGCATTTCCTTCTCTGTGAGTCATTTATTCATATTTTTGGCTTCCTCTTTCACTGGGCTTATAGTCTGTTTTTAAAATAAAGCAATTCTTACAAAGAAATCAATTCCATTCCGTTGTTGGAAAAGGCACTTGTACTGTTTGAAGTTTTTAATGAGTTTTCCAGAAAACAAGAGTTTTTCCCTCTTGGTCTTCTTGTACTCCGTTCTGGGGAAAGACACAAAAGCCTATGTGACATGTAACTAATATTTTTGTGATATATGTTTCTCTACTGAATAACCAACTACTGGCTTAAAATAGAAACTAAAAGCTTCATAGGTTGGGGCTTAGAGATGACCCTTTCAAAGGACTGGAGTTGGGCAAGCACATTCATTGTGCTCACAGTTGCTTTGATTCCAGGGCCTCTGCCTCTGCAATGCAGGCATCTGCACTCATGCACACCCCCTCCCCCCAGACAGACAGGGTAGAAGGGAGAGTCAAGTAAAATCTATTTTTATGTAATAGCAAAATCCTAAAGGGACTAGAATACTAGAATAGTGATTAAAAACTGGTTAAAAACTACCTGAGTTTAATTCATGCAGAACAGCTGAAAAATGATCTAGAAATAAATATATTTAAAAATAAAAATTTAAATAAAATGTATACACGTATAATAGATGCAGAAATACACACTTTTGCATTTCAAAGTCAGTTCTCATATATTGCCTTGGAAAGACATATTTGCTATGTGGGAAGCTGTTACTTTTGTTCAAACACCCGTGTTTTAAGTGAGATGACGCTTGCTGGCTCTTTTTGCTGGAAACTGTGTTCTCTTCCTGTGTGGAAAATTCCATGATATATTAAACAGGCTAACACCCAAAGTAATGTGCTTTGGAGGTGTGACTGAGATACTTTCTGTCAATGTGCTATTGAGGAATGTACATACACCTTACCTGGCATTGAACTGGAGATGGAACACCAAGACCTTGATGGCACTGCACTAGGGAAGTTCACAGTCTTCTCATTTCAGGAAGGCCCTTAAAGAGAGCTCTGTCCTCGACAGTGCACATGCTTTCATGGCACAGGAGTGGCAGTCTTCATAGGCTGACCAGAGCCCTCCTTGGTATCCTTTTTTG